TACAAACAGATGGAGAGATATACCATGTTCTTGGATTGGAAGAATCAACATTGTGAAAATGACTCTACTTCCCAAAGCAATCTATAGATTCAATGCAATCCCTATCAAACTACCACTGGCATTTTTCACAGAACTAGAACAAAAAATTTCACAATTTGTATGGAAACACAAAAGACCCCGAATAGCCAAAGCAATCTTGAGAACAAAAAATGGAGCTGGAGGAATCAGGCTGCCTGACTTCAGACTATACTACAAAGCTACAGTAATCAAGACAGTATGGTACTGGCACAAAAACAGAAAGATAGATCAATGGAATAGGATAGAAAGCCCAGAGATAAACCCATGCACATATGGTCACCTTATCTTTGATAAAGGTGGCAGGAATATACAGTGGAGAAAGGACAGCCTCTTCAATAAGTGGTGCTGGGAAAATTGGATAGGTACATGTAAAAGTATGAGATTAGATCACTCCCTAACACCATACACAAAAATAAGCTCAAAATGGATTAAAGACCTAAATGTAAGGCCAGAAACTATCAAACTCTTAGAGGAAAACATAGGCAGAACACTCTATGACATAAATCACAGCAAGATCCTTCTTGACCCATCTCCTAGAGTAATGGAGATAAAAACAAAAATAAACAAATGGGACCTAATGAAACTTCAAAGCTTTTGCACAGCAAAGGAAACCATAAACAAGACCAAAAGACAGCCCTCAGAATGGGAGAAAATATTTGCAAATGAATCAACTGACAAAGGATTAATCTCTAAAATTTACAGGCAGCTCATGCAGCTCAATAACAAAAAAATAAACAACCCAATCCAAAAATGGGCAGAAGACCTAAATAGACATTTCTCCAAAGAAGATATACAGACTGCCAACAAACACATGAAAGAATGCTCAACATCATTAATCATTAGAGAAATGCAAATCAAAACTACAATGAGATATCATCTCACACCAGTCAGAATGGCCATCATCAAAAAATCTAGAAACAATAAATGCTGGAGAGGGTGTGGAGAAAAGGGAACACTCTTGCACTGCTGGTGGGAATGTGAATTGGTTCAGCCACTATGGAGAACAGTATGGAGGTTCCTTAAAAAACTACAAATAGAACTACCATATGACCCAGCAATCCCACTACTAGGTATATACCCTGAGGAAACCAGAATTCAGAAAGAGTCATGTACCAAAATGTTCATTGCAGCTCTATTTACAATAGCCCGGAGATGGAAACAACCTAAGTGCCCGTCGTCGGATGAATGGATAAAGAAGATGTGGCACATATATACAATGGAATATTACTCAGCCATAAAAAGAAACGAAATTGAGCTATTTGTAATGAGGTGGATAGATCTAGAGTCTGTCATACGGAGTGAAGTAAGTCAGAAAGAGAAGGACAAATACCGTATGCTAACACATATATATGGAATTTAAGAAAAAAAAATGTTATGAAGAACCTAGGGGTAAAACAGGAATAAAGACAGAGACCTACTGGAGAACAGACTTGAGGATATGGGGAGGGGGAAGGGTGAGGTGTGTTAGGGCGAGAGAGAGACATGGACATATATATACTAACAAACGTAAGGTAGATAGCCAGTGGGAAGCAGCCGCATGGCACAGGGAAACCGGCTCGGTTCTTTGTGGCTGTCTGGAGGGGTGGGATAGGGAGGGTGGGAGGGAGGGTGACAAAGAGGGAAGAGATATGGGAACATATATATATGTATAACTGACTCACTCTGTTATAAAGCAGAAACTAACACACCATTGTAAAGCAATTATACCCCAATAAAGATGTTAAAAAAAAAATAATAAAAAAAAAAAAACAAGGTCTTAAGTTCCACCTTATCTGATGTTAATATTGGAATTCCTGTGTTCCTTTTGTCTGCATTTATTTGCTACCTCTTTGTTTCTTTATTATTAAGCTCCTTTTATCACTGTCTTATAGACATCATATCATTGTACTTTTGTAACCCAATCTAATGGCTTATCCTTTAATGGGAGAATTCAGTCCATTCCCATGCACTTGATTTTACTCTTATCTTAGTGTTTATGATTGCTTTCACACTGTTGTTTCCCCTTCCTTGGATCTGCCAATTTGATCAAGTTGCTATAAATTCCATATGTTTTTTTTTTCTTTTTTGGCTGCGCTGAGCAGCTTGCGGGATCTTGGTTCCCTGACCAGGGATTGAACTCGGAACCTCAGCAGTGAAAGTGTGGAGTCCTAACCACTGGACCGCCAGGGAATTCCCGCAAATTCCACATTTTGTTAATTTGGAAGTTTACTTAAACTTCTCTATTAATGGTTACTTTCCTTTTCACCAATCTCAGAAGCAGACATAGATTTCTTTACTATTATTTGAAAACAAGATACCAATTACCTCCAGAAGAAAGTATCTCCCACCAGCACATTTCCCATAAAGAAGAAAACTTCAGAATTCTTTTACTGCCCACCCCCATTCCCTGTCTGCTAGGTGAGGTCACGAGAATCCTTTTACCTCTACTTCCTCCCCCCAAACCTTGAAGACACCTAGGGTTTGATCAGATAGTCTAGAATTTAAAATGAGCTATTATTGGATGTTATGTAATGATAATTACATATAAACATATATATTCTACATTGCACACACATACCCGTACCTGTGTATGTACACACGCAGACACAGAAAGAAGGAGGGCTCGAGAAGGAGGGAGGAGCAGGGGAGCACGTGCGCAGGGCAGGCTCACCTCCCATCACTTCTCTCTACTGCTCTCTCCCTCATCTTAGAGTTTCTGTTCCAGTTCATTTGTTCTATGATTGAAGTCCTTACTCAATTATTTTCCTCAGACAGGGCTACTGGGGAAATACATCTCTGAATTTTATGTATATCCCCCAAAAGGAATATCTCTTTTGCCCTAAAGGGTACGAACAATAACTTAGCTCGGTGTGTGACTCTCAGGTTACAGTCCTTTTCTCACCGTAAGCTCTAATCAGATGAGACATTATTACTGTTTTATACAGTAAATATGTGTTTATAATTACCCCACATTCACCCCTTTCTTGTTCCTCATTCCTTCTTGCCTTTCAGGCCTCCCACTTGGGATTTACCTTGCTTCTGTTTGAAGTACCTCCTTACGAATTTCCTTGTGAGAATCTTACAAGGCTACTTACAAACTGCCTCAATTTTCATATTTCTTAAAGTCTTTATTACACCTTCATTTTTGAAAGTATTTAGGCTTGGTATAACAATGTAGGTTGGCAGTTATTTTCTTTTATCACACTGAAAATCTTATTCCACTGTTTTCTATCTTCCGTTTATTGCTGCTGAGAAGCTAGTTGTTAGTCTTACTCTTTTGAAGGTTAATCTTTTTTCTCTGGCTGATTTTAAGATCTTCTCTTTGTTTTTTCAGTATGATGTGTCCTCTCTTTTTATTTACTCTACTTTGGAATTTTGGAATCTGTGGACTAAAGTCTTCCATCATTTCTGGAGAATTCTCTTCAAACACACTGCCCCATTCTCTCTCCTGTCCTTCTGGAACTCCAGTTATATATATGCTAAACCGTACATTCTACCCTCCACATTTCTAAACCTCTCTAACTTATTTTCTATTTTTTTATCTTTGTGCTACATGTTGGATAACTTCTTCTGACCTACTAAGTTTTCAAATTTTCAGTTATTATATGTACACTTCTCAAAATTCAATTACGTTCTACCTAAAATGTGTTGTCACTTTTTATACTTTCTTATTCCTTGCAGATATTTCCAAGCTTGTCTTGTCTTTATTTCTTTACATATAATAGGCATAATTGTTTTACAATTCATATCTGATCATTCTAATTTCTGAGGACTGTGAGGGTCTGTTCCTGCTGTCTTTCTCTCCCTGCTAGTTCTCACTTGCAATGCCTTGTCTCCTGGTGGACTGGTTAATGCTGAGTGCTGCCTGCTGCCCCTGACTGATTATTTGCAGAGATTCTCTGAGGCCAAAGAAGAAGGTGTCTTTCTCTGGGAGGATTTGTACTTTGTTTCTTCGAATACCTGGGAGTGCTACCATCCAGAATCACCTTATTTATTATTTTTTTAATACATTTATTTATTTTATTTTATTTTTAGCTGCGTTGGGTCTTCATTGCTGCACACGGGTTTTTCTCTAGTTGCAGCGAGCAGGGCTACTCTTCATTGCAGTGCACAGGTTTCTCACTGCAGTGGCTTCTCTTGCTGCTGAGCATGGGCTCTAGGCGTGCAGTCTTCAGTAGCTATGGAGCACAGGCTCAGTAGTTGTGGAGCACGGGCTCAGTAGTTGTGGCTCACAGGCTCTAGACGCAGGCTCAGTAGTTGTGGTGCACGGGCTTAGTTGCTCTGCAGCGTGTGGGATCTTCCCGGACCAGGGCTCAAACCCGTGTCCCCTGCATTGGCAGGCGGATTCTTAACCACTGTGCCACCAGGGAAGCCCCAGAATCACTTTAAACTAAGTTCAAGGCTTGAGGTTTCTGGACTACCTCACTGATAATATTAATTTGGGCTACAAATCTGCCCAACAATCAGCCTTACATAAGCTCTCTCCATCATGATTCCCAAGGCTCATTGCCAGCCAGCTGAGCAAAGCCTTCAGAAGCTTTTTGGCTTAAGAGAAACCAACAGACTGGAGCCAGTGGTGGAAAGAAAGGGAGCCATGTTGGGCAGGTCTTACTTCCAGAATCCTTGAACTGGCTTTAAAGTTGCATGTATACATGTAAGCATTATAACAACACATCCTATGGCATAATTTTTAATGAGTAAGCCATTAAAGGAGATTTTAATATGTTTACATGACTTTAGCAGGCATAGTTTTGAGAGACTAAGAAAGCAAAGTGTTGTGGATTATTAGATTACCAGATTATAAAGTTACACCAAACTGTAACATAGCATAAGGACAATTTTTTTTCTTCAACTTAATTCAAAACTATTGCTGGGCTCTAAACTGAGATAAAATAACTTCTCATGCTGAATTATACTTTTATAACAAAAAAGTGGGTACATACCCTTGTAAAGCCAGCCTCAATGAGGGACATTACAGATGACTCTTCTCTAACCGCCCTTCAAAAGAATACAGTAAATGGTTAGAGACAGTTTTTATCAATTACGTCTCACATCTTTAACTACTCATTAATTTACATAATATTATACTGTCATATAATGAGCACTTTTAGATGAATTAGATTAACATACAAATCAAACGTATAAAGTTGAAAACAGTTTTCTGTTTTAGTTTCACACTAGGCTTTTTTTTTTTTTTTTTTGGCGATTCGCGGGCCTCTCACTGCTGTGGCCTCTCCCATTGCGGAGCACAGGCTCCGGACGCGCAGGCCCAGCGGCCACGGCTCATGGGCCCAGCCACTCCGCGGCACGCGGGATCCTCCCGGACCGGGGCACGAACCCATGTCCCCTGCATCGGCAGGCGGACTCCCAAGCACTGCGCCACCAGGGAAGCCCCACACTAGGCTTTTTGGCAGTGTGTATTAATGCTTGAAATACAGATATTACACTAACAGCCAGGATACAGGCAGGAGTGACTGTATATCTATTTGATATGTAAAAATTTTAATTTAAACTAAATTACTTCTGTTCTTTCCTTACCTCCAATTTTAAAATGAAATATAAGATTTCCCCCAATTATGTATAATTCAAATCTTCATAGATATTTGGAGTTTGAAGTCCCTAGGAAATACGCCTGGAAAACATTCATACTTTAGGAATGGAATTCTCTCGTGGTTTGCCTATTTCTAAAGTGAAAGGCAGTCCAAAATCACAAAACCTAGTATGAGAGTACAAACTCCAGCCATGAATTTAACTGCCAAAGTGAAAGAAAATAAGAAAGAGTGAAGAAAAAGAGGCCCAACTAAAAAGGATGAGGCCTGTCACGGCCCACAAGCTGTTATTTGGGCCTCTGTTAAAAGCAAACATTACACTGACACCTGAATTTCAACATCAAAAAAGAAGGAAAGAAGGAAGTATCTTACCTGCGTACTACACCAACAATAACTGTGTTTTCTGAGAGTTCTGATGATCTGATAGACCTTTAAAAAAAAGTTTTAAAATAAATTTAAAGCAATTCTTTAAAAACTAAATATACCTAAACGATTTTGGTAGAACAATTAAAGTTGGGGGAGAGGGAGAAGGGAGAGCAAAAGATCCCTTCATACGCTGGAGTCACCTTCTTAGCTACTTCATCTTTCTCTCTTTGGAGGACAAACTCCTAACCCAAACTCCTAACCAGTGGCCTATGGTAACCCTAACAATTATGGAGTGTGAAGATAACACCTAGTGCAAATGATGTGCCTTCTACTTGTTTGGCCCTTTGTTAACCTAAGCTGTTTCAGGCGGGAAATTTTCCCTACCTGGGGCTTACGTGAAAGGGGTACTAGTCTCTTCCTACCAAAGGAAAATGCAAGTTTATGTATATTACCACTAGCTGATGGCGACAATTCCAGTGGGGGTGAAGAAGCCCAAGGGTCAGCTCTCCACTGTATTCTAAGCAGTGCAAAGAAGGGTTCCCAAGTAGAATGCAGGCAAAAACAGTAACAATAAATACTCAAAACTTGGAAATGCAAGATATTCTTATCAGTCAGAAAGAGGAGAATCAACACCTGACAGGAAAAATTAAGAAAGGAAGACTGGTTGAGAAAAGTAGAAGACACTGCTCCACTTAAATGACCCAAGGAGTATGAGTCTGCCCGCAGGGACTGGATTTAACCATCCAGAGAAGCAGCTGCCCAGGAAGTCACGGGGAATGAAAATCCAGCCACAAGATGAGAGAGGGCAGAGATGAATGTGACAGAGAGGAGAAGGAGGAAAAGAAGTTGCTCCCCTGGAGATATGCAATGGCTTTGACCCATCCTACCCTGGGGAAGAAAGCTGGCCTATCCGGAGAAGAGCCAGGCCACAGGAAGAGGGAGGAACTCAGCCGCTGGCCTGGAAGGAAGAGGACTCACACCGGAGGGTGACTTGCCCCAGCCAAGTCAGAAGCACGCTGGCCCCTGGACAATGTGTCCGGGATGGGACAGAGAGTAGCCCAGACTTACTGCCTTACTTCAGTTCTGCTGGTTCAAAAATCACTTGTGTCACTTCTGAATCACTGAACACAGAAACTGATTTGAGTGACTATTTCTCAATTCTCCCAAGGATGGTTCATAACATAACCATTCCAGATGCATAAGAGAAAAGTCAATTCATCATATACAATGGATGCCTCAGTTTTGGCAAAATTTCTCTGTAAAGGGCCAGATAGTAAATATTTTAGGCTTTTTGGGCCATCCAGACTCTGTCACAACTACTCAATTCTGCCACTGTAGCACGAGAGCAGCCACAGACAATACATAAAGGAATGGGCCTGACTGTGTTCCCCTTTGCCTATCCCTGCCTCAGGGCACTGAGGCTTAATTTTCTCATGGAGCTCAGGTTGAGAAAGGCTGAAGTCCAACGATAGATGCAGACTAGCTCTAGGGTTGGTTAGTTGCTCAGGGATGGAAAAGCAGCCCTAGGGACCAGCCAGTCTCTCTCATGGACCACGTAGCTCATAACACTCTCTCTCTCACTCTCTCTCTCTGTGTCAACACTTCTGCTTCTCCTAGGGTCCACTGTACTCCTCCAGCTTCTATTTGCCTACCATCTCCAGAGGGAGCCAACCTAAAGGGCACTGGCTACCTGGCTCTACCGGAAGAGCCCTCTCAACAGGTCGCTGAAGGGCTTGCTGACCAGGTGCCAGGCCCTGGTCCAAACATGGTCTCCCTGCCTAGAAAATAGCCAAGCTCACCTTCCTGGAGAAGGAGCCATGGGAAGGGCTGTTTCAGCTGGGGAGGATGACTGGCATGGCAGACCCTCACACAACAGACAAGGCCAGGTCACTTTTCAAACCTGTTGGCTAATACTCACCCTAGCACTAATCTTAAACAGGGAATGAAAGACATGGACTCACAAATGGTATTTCCATGACTTCTTAGGACACTGTAGTTGTTCTTACATTTATACTTCTATCCTATCACGAAGATTTAGAGGGAGAAAAGGCACTTTAAGTATGCAGCCAGCCATTTCAAACGAGCTCTCATCTTTTTACAAGAAAAACAGAGATCTGGGTGGTATAATAGCAAGTACACAACCATGTAGATGATCTCAGTTAAGTAGATTTGGATACAGAGAGGAGGGGCACTGGGCTAAGAACAAAGTAGAAGGAAAGATCATGTTTCCTGGAGACAAGCAGGTCCCTGCAAAGGAGGTCTAACACGGTATGAAAAGGCAGACATGTATTCTTAACTTTCTCTGGTCCATAAGAAGGAAGAACTGGCTAGGAAATAGAAATGTCAGGAACCCGGGTTGCAAAATAACACCCTTTACTTTAGAATTCAAGAAAAATAAGAAAGAAATGACATGGTGTCATCAAAATATACACCCGGACATTCGGAAGGAAGATTTCAAGAAGTCAGAAAAAAAGATGGGGCGTGAGGGACTTCCCTGGCGGTCCGGTGGCTAAGACTTTGCCTTCCAATGCAGGGGGTGTGGGTTCGATCCCTGGCCAGGGAGCTAAGATCCCACATGCCTCCTGGGCAAAAAATCAAAACCTAAAACGGAAGCAATATTGTAACAAATTCAATAAAGACTTAAAAAATAACACAGTCTACATCAAAAAAAAATCTTAAAAAAAGAGAAGAAAAAGAAAGATGGGGCGTGAGTCTATAGCATGAGATTCGGAAAGGCTGCACAAGCATACTGGGAAGCTCTCAGAACCATGCTACCTGGTGAAACATTTGCATTTGATTTGGTTATGCACAACAGAAAACTCCAGAGAAAGTGGCTTAAACAAGACTTGTCTCCCACATGCAAGGTGGGCAGAGGTGAGCAGTCCAAGCTGCAATGGCACTCTGTAGCATCAGGAACCGGGCTCCTTTTGTCTTACGTTTCTCTATTATTGTCTGTACATGGTTTCTTCCTCATGGTCCAAGACAGATGCTGAGCTCTAGCCATAACATCCACATTCCAGAGAGCAGGAAGAAGGGCATGCATATTCCCTTCAAGGACACTTTTCAGAAGATGCACATGACACTTCCATTGGCTAGCTACAAGAAAAGCTAGGGAATGCAGTATATTTTCTAGGTGGTTGTATTCCCACCTAAACACTAGATATTCTGCTATTAAGAAAAGAGTAGAAATGGATATTGGGGGGCAACTACCAGTCTCCAGATACACTAGGAAACTACAAGTAATTCTGATGATGGTCTTGATACAAAACTGGAAAAAAGGCCACATGCTGGAGGCTTACTGTATGAACATAGCAAAGCTCTTAAATGACTTAAATTTTACGAAATCACAACTCCATTACTTGTACTATGCCACTGTTCCCTCTGCCACGTGGAATGAGTTTCACATTGGAAAGAATGGAATTTACAATAGTAAAATGGATGTTCAGACCAAGGTAAATCTAGAGATTGTTATGAAAGCACCCAGCACTCTGAGTTCAATCTTGCTTCTGCATTCAACACAGACTTTTTTTTTTAAACATCTTTATTGGAGTGTAATTGCTTTACAATGTTGTGTTTCTGCTTTATAAAAAAGTGAATCAGCTATACATATACATACATCTCCATATCCCCTCCCTCTTGCGTCTCCCTCCCACCCTCCCTATCCCACCCCTGTAGGTGGACACAAAGCACCGAGCTGATCTCCCTGTGCTATGCGGCTGCTTCCCACTAGCTATCTATTTTACAGTTGGTAGTGCAATATATGTCCATGCCACTCTCTCGCTTCGTCCCAGCTTACCCTTCCCCCTCCCCGTGTCCTCAAGTCCATTCTCTACACCTGCGTCTTTATTCCTGTCCTGCCCCTAGGTTCATTGGAACCATTTTTTTTTTTAGATTCCATATATATGTGTTAGTATACGGTATTTGTTTTTCTCTTTCTGACTTACTTCACTCTGTATGACAGACTCTAGGTCCATCCACCTCACTACAGATAATTCAATTTCGTTTCTTTTTATGGCTGAGTAATATTCCATTGTATATACGTGCCACATCTTCTTTATCCATTCATCTGTCGATGGACACTTAGGTTGCTTCCATGTCCTGGCGACTGTAAATAGTGCTGCAATGAACACTGTGGTACATGGCTCTTTTTGAAATATGGTTTTCTCAGGGTATATGCCCAGTAGTGGGATGGCTGGGTCGTATGGTAGTTCTATTCCTAGTATTTTAAGGAACCTCCATACTGTTCTCCATAGTGGCTATACCAATTTACATTCCCACCAACAGTGCAAGAGGGTTCCCTTTTCTCCACACCCTCTCCAGCATTTATTGTTTGTAGACTTTTTGATGATGGCCATTCTGACTGGTGTGAGGTGATACCTCATTGTAATTTTGACTCGCATTTCTCTAATGATTAGTGATGTTGAGCATCCTTTCACGTCAACACAGACTTAATTCTGTTAACGTATGTTGGGTTTCTACGCAGTGCTTTACTTCCTCCATCTCCCTTTATAAAAATCTTCCCTTTCATTACAGAGCCCTGCTCCTGCTGCACAGAGGACTAGCTCTGAGTACACTAAGCATATGTCTTCTAAAAGGTTCTTCAGTTTCTTACAGAAAACAATTTTCTTTGTCTTCAGGCTGTTCTTTCCCCCTCCATAATTTGGCAGCTTTTTGGTCCCCTTCTTTATCCTTTAACGGGAGCAACATCAACCCAGGCAGACTGTCTGCAGCAGAGATGGTCAGAGGAGTCTCCCTTGCACCCCCCTTTGCTGGACCCTTGGGGTTAGCAGCCGTCCTCCTCTCAGGTCTGGACCTGCAGATCAGGTCAACAGGTGCAAGTGTGTGCTCAGAGAGCGCTGCCAGCAGGCAGGCATGGCTCTCCTGCACAGAGGGGACTCCTGGTCTGCTCTCTGCCATTCTCTGGCTAAACCTGACAACTGATGCAGTTTGTTGTTTTGAAACTGCAATATGTGAAGGAATGTTTACAGGCTCCTTATGCCTCTGCCCCTTCTTACAACATGGTGAAAACCACGTCTTTGTCCATCTCCCTCTGCTCCCTGTCTTGGGTTTCCTAGTGGATGTAGAAAGTAAATCACAGAAGTGATGGTGCTCGGCTCTGGTCAGTGCAACTCCAGCATCCCAGGCTCAGCAGGACACAGTGGGAGTAAAGCAAAGCCTCTTCCCACTTCCTTCCTGCAGGGCCACTGGAATTTCAGCTTCAGAGGCTGAAGTATGCAGAGGACATTCCAGGAACAGGCTTCTTTATTGGTGCCCATAGCACAAGAGATACAGTGAGAATCCCTGTCCTTTTCTGTCTCCCAACTTCTGGCATATCTGTCATCTTATCTTTGGTTCGTTCATTGCTGTGGTCAGTTTTTGTCTCTACGGGAAGTTGGGAGGAGGCCCCGACCTCAGCCTCACAGCGGGCTGACAGGCCTTGCTCCTTCCATCCCCTTCTCCACTCTCCAGGCAGAAGCCACAGTGCTCTGGCAGCACACTCCGGACACTCCCCTGTGTAGAATACGTAGACTACACCAGGGTCTCAACTGCCTACAGGGCAGACGCCAAAGCCTTTGGCTCAGCACACAAGGCCCTCCAGATCAGGCTCATCTGCTGCTCCAGCCTCACCCTGAGCCAGGGCCCATACCTGCTGGATCCAGCAGCCACCTGACACCAGGCAGAGGAGCCCTGGACACCCTGCCCAGTCCTACACATGCTGCTTCCTCCACCCAGAATGTTTTCTCCACTGTCCTTCCTTTCAGAACTCCTGCTTATCCTTTGTGACTCAACTCAAACACCCCCTTGTGAAGCCCTCCTAGACACAGGCACCCGCAGCATACCTCCTCTGTGGGCATCCATGAGCTGTGCTGAAATCGCTCGCTTGCCCCCGCCAACAAAAGCATTTGTTCCTCAGAGGCAAGAACCATGTCTTATTCACCTATGTAGCTCTGGTAACAAGCACAGTGTCCTGAACCAAGAAGACCTGCCAAGTAGGGTTCCCTCAACTGGTGAGTTTGAAAATATCGCAGACACAGAATATCTAACCTCTAGGAAGGCATCTGATAAGAGTGTAAGGAGTTCCACATGTCCCCAGTAGAGAGATACAGCTGAATGCTAATCATTTAGACAAATCAGCAACTGATGAAAAACCCTTCACAGGGGGTGTTGATCAGGTATCCCACAAGGAAGAAGAAGGGACAGATGGGGCTCTGCCAGGGCTAAGGTCTCTTAGCGAGCCGTGTAAGTGGAGAGAGAGGGCGAGCAGGTTCAGGAGGGATGGCCTGGAAAGATTCCTTGAAGGAACAGTCCACAGTGGGCAGGCACCCTTAAAAGGGATGATCTTAAGGGAGATAAACCAGGTACGGGCCAGAACGGAGATGAAACTGACTAGGAAAATAAATCAGGGCCCACTCTTGCCTCTAGAAAACTCACTACAAATGGCACAAGGACTCCCCCCACCCGTTGTCCTCCAAATCCTCAGCCAACAAGACAAAAGTGATGACGTGGTAGAACACAGCTAGCAAGAAAGACTTCAGATTCTTGGCCAGGGCTGTGACACAGCTGTCAGGAAAGGAGCGTGACCAGGGGTGCCTTTGTAGAGGTCTGCTCTCTGGCTAACACAGCGGGGGGTGACGGCTCTGCTTACTCTACGCTCATCTACCCAAACCCGTGAGGTTTTCAGTTCAGGAGCCACGCCTATGAGAGATCTTGATTGGAAGAAGGTACTCAGAGGAGGCCTCCTTGATGGGGCTGGAATATGAAACCACACTCTGTGAGGAGCCGCTGACAGCAGTGAGGATGTGCTCCAACCAGAAAAGACCACTCCTGCCCTCAAATGTCGGAAATCTGGGGCCAAATATGGACAGAGCTGGACTCAGCATGGAGGAGAACGTATGAAACTCAGAACTCTCCCCTGGGAAACCCTAACCCCCATCAGAGGCTGGATGGAGGGTGGTGGGGACTTGGTAGAAGACACACTCATGACAGCCTAAGCTTCTCTAAAACCGCATGTTAAGCAACCCAGGTCACTTTCTCTGTTTTAAAACTGTATAAGTTGTAAATTTATAAATTTGCTGAATGAGTTACCCTATTTGTTTAGAATATTCCCAAAATGTGTAACAACAGTACTTTCTCCTTCAAAAAGTGGAGCATAGGGCTTCCCTGGTGGCGCAGTGGTTGAGAGTCCGCCTGCCGATGCAGGGGACGCGGGCTCGTGCCCTGGTCCGGGAAGATCCCACATGCCGCGGAGCGGCTGGGCCCGTGAGCCATGGCCGCTGAGCCTGCACGTCCGGAGCCTGTGCTCCGCAACGGGAGAGGCCACAACAGTGAGAGGCCCGCGTACTGCAAAAAAAAAAAAAAAAAAAAAAAAAAAAAGTGGAGCATAATTGTATGTTATGTGTATCTTACTGCAATAAAAAAAAGTAGACCATAACTACCACAACTTAGTTTTTCTTTTATTTGTTTTGTTTTTTCTTTTTTGTGTGTGTGTGTTTTTTTTTTTTCCGGTACGTGGGCCTCTCACTGTTGTGGCCTCTCCCATTGCGGGGCACAGGCTCCGGACGCGCAGGCTCAGTGGCCATGGCTCACGGGCCCAGCCGCTCCGCGGCATGTGGGATCCTCCCGGACCGGGACATGAACCCATGTTCCCTTCATCAGCAGGCAGACCCTCAACCACTGAGCCACCAGAAAAGCCCAGTTTTTCTTTTATAACACAGGACGGTCTAGCAGAGCCACCTTTATGAGTATGAATGTCATTGTCCAGCACATACCTGTGGCCAGGTTTGGACCTGGACAAGACTGTGAAGGAAGCCAAGTTGTCCTCAGCACCTCACCCTGCTTTACCTTTTCTGTTTGAGCTCTTTGGCTCTCCTTAGATATTTCTCCGGCCTAGCAGCAGTCTACCAAGACTAAAAGCACCACGTAACTAAGATATTTTCTTCCCTTCCTCTGAGTGCTATCCATCAAATGCTAGAGAGATAAAGGATCTTGGAAACCAAGTGTTCCAAATTTACAGCTGAGAAAACACATCCTCAGAGAAGACAGAGAGTTACCCAAAGGCAGCTGGGCAAGGGAAGAGCCGAGCATAGGACCCAGGGTCAGAGCTCTCTCCACAACTCCACATCCCTCATGGGTGTGCTGTCAGATAACACGTCAAACAAATCTGGGCTACAGTGACAATGGCTAACTGCCATCAACCAGACAGAAATAGGAAAGGAACACAGGCAGCATGGCAGGCAACACAGATCAAGGCCAGAGGGAAGCTTTACTGGAGGTGGATCACACCTGGGTAAAAGCCACCTCATCTGACTACCTGAAAGGTGAACTCTCAAGTACATGGAAATCACCATGTGCCTGTAAACAACCTTCTGATAGGATGTCATTTTCCTGTCAGCTCAGTTTTTAACTCCTGTTATATTTGGTTTTCCACCTTTTCTATCTCCTAAAAGTCAACATTTAAATGTCCTTAAAATTAATACATTATAAAATTTTACATTATATTAAAATTATGATTTGTCTTCCCCAAAATAAAAGTTTTCTTTCAAATAAAATTGATATTTCACTTTCGCCTTGCTTCCATCAGCAGCAAATGACTTTCTTTAGAAATTACTTTTCTTAGATTTATGTCTGCTACCCAAATTCTCTCATGATATTGATATTCTGCAAGTATGAGAAACAAGGCACATACACCTAACATTAGAAGACAATTTTCAAAATTTTTATAACTTTAAAAACATCTAGAAAACTACAGTAACTCTTGTTGCAGTACTATGCAGGTGACAGTTCTGGTTAATTACATACAGGATTTCATCTTAATCCTTAACGGTTCACATTCAGATTTTCTTACTGTTTTAAGCAAAGCAAAACAAAACAAAAGAGATAGAGATCCCTCCTAGAAATAATAATATTCTAATGTCTTGCTTATTTTACTTGCATGGAAGGCAACTTAAAAGACACTGAATTTAACCTAATGTATTTGGGGCTGCGTTTACTGTCACAAATGCCAGCGAGACTCTTGAGGCCTGAGTCTCAGGCTTACCTGCACAGCACCTCCCCGTCCAGCTGCTGGGGATTTCTGTGGTCAATGATGATGATGTCATGATGTTTGTCCAGGAAACAGGCAAGGGCCATCTGAGCCTCCTTGATAACTGTACACTTAAACCCTGCTTTTTCACATGCCCTACAGAATCCATTACACTGCTTATCTTCTTTGGGAAACACTAAAAGTACCTGAATCAAAAAAGCATGAACACTTTTAAAAAAAAAAAAAAAGGTGTCGTTAGAATTGTCATTTCTTAACAAGCCACAGAAAACTCCCAAGTGTTTACAAGGCAAGTACACAGATGTGAGCATAACAATCTGTTGAGTAAATCCTTTTCCTACATGTAACTCTGGGATGTTATCACTCAGCTCCCTGAAATGAGTGCTATTCTATCTGTTCTTAGTCTGGAAGTCAGTGCATGGATCATATGCTTATTTCTTTTGCTAATAAGCCCACTGGAAGAACTCAACAAAGACTTGATTAAGTACTTTATCTTAAAACTGAATCAATTAAAAAACACAAATACTTATTTTAGTTAACAGTAAGTTAACTAGGTAAGTCCTTAGATGGCAAACACCAATATTTCAGTCAAACTCCCAGAATACTTAATACTTTAAATAATACATTTAAATATTCTGACTCAAGACTTTATGTAATTCCTCCCAGTTAAAAAAAAAATTACTTTGATTATAAGAGAGGAGACTTAAAGTAGACCAAAACGTTACAATTCAAAAACTGCCCGTTTAGTGACACAAGAATAGCACCAGGTGCAAGAGACAGCTGGCTGTCCTTGAGCCTGGGCTGGATGGGTGAGGCCTGTGTCTGCTGCCCTTTCCCCTGCGCGGCCAAGCCCCCACGCCAAACCTGGGGCAGGAGCGCACTGCTCCATCCCTTCACACTCACACTGACTAACAGGGGGCAACTGTGGTATGTGGTACAGTCAAGGTGGGACAGCCTAAGGGAA